TAATGTGTTTTTTTAACCTTAAACCGCATAAACACATTTCATTACACCAAATACACCAAATAATACACCACTTTAACATCTTTCTTGTAAGTTGGAATTTGTCAGCTAATGTTGTTTTTTAACATATCTATTTCCAACCAAACTGCTATGTCTGCCAGAAGCTGGAGGTTGACATCAAGCCAACATTGGGTTTTGACATTATGGCAAACAGGGTGGGGCTGAAAGCCATGGAAATGGTGCGAGGCTGGGAACGCAGGTGCTAATTAGCCACACCAGTCTTGAGTTCCATGGAGGAGCTCCGAAAGGACATGAAGAGGAGTGATGACAGTGGAGGGGGAGAAAGGACCAGGCCTTTGTTTTGTGTTGGCAGTTGGCCATGAGGTGGCCATTTATTTTTGAGTTGTTTAAAGTTTACATTTATGTTGAGCCAGTACCCACATCATTCTTCCCATATCTAAACATTTACATTTACATTTAGTCATTTAGCAGATGCTTTTATCCAAAGCGACTTACAAATGAGGACAATAAAAGCAGTCAAAACTAACAAAAGAGCAACAATATATGTGCAACAAGTAGATAGAATAGAAAAAATAGAAAGAACCTAGTTTTCATTTCCAATCAAAATTCAACATCTGTGCAATGTTGGAGGTTGACTAAAGCCAACGTTTGGTTTTGATGTCAAGCTGATTTTAATTTTCAACCAAAATTCTATGTCTGTCCAACATCTTTCTGACATTACTTTCTGATGTCCAGTCCCTGGTGCGATCATTCAGATTTACCTTCAGGTAACATGGAGGAATAAAAGAGCTCTGGCAAGGGGAAAAATAGGGTTAGCACTAACACTGTACATTAGCGCTAACTAGTCAGTCTTGATAGTTAATAGGTTGTTGGTTTTAGCAGCAGCCTTTGTGTTTATCAGCTAGCTGATGATATGACTATATATATCGTGCAGACGATATAAATTGTAAATTGATTGAACTTTTTCACTATAGTTTACTATGTGTTTTGGAAAAATAGCTGCAAAACATTTAGTGGGCAGGAGTTATTGACACGTTAGAGTGATAAAGAAACATGGACTAATGAGGAAATAAAGAGCAGGACATGTACTCCCTGAGGTATTAAAGTGCAGGCTGATCAGTGCAGAACTTTCTCTATGACAGTCTCAACCAAGTGAACACTCTCAAAAATTTGGAGATATCATGGTAAAATTTGCACCTACCTTCCTTCAGGGATGCTGAACTGGAGGAGTATGAGAGTCTTGAGGCCCCTTGCAGTTGCTATCCCCACAACTGGCAGGGGAAAAAGCATCCACAAACTAATGCTCCATGTCACCAGCAGACCTTGGGCTTGTCACTGAAATCAAGTCAAGTTCAACACACGCTGATGGAGAAAATGAAGACTTTTTTGTTTTTACCGAAGATGTTGAAGTCTCTGGCAAGTCTACACACAGTAAAGCTGAGCTGGAGACACTGCACCTTCTAGAAGATCACATAAAGGTTTTGGTTATCTTGGATCAGTATCCACCCATTAGACTGCTGTTTGTGAGGTTCAACACAATCATACCCTCCTCAACTCCTGTAGAGTGCCTGTTTTCCTATGCAGGTTTAATCAGCTTAATGTAGCCTCTGTCGTGCTTGGCTCTGATAAATGCTGCTTGCAGCTATATTTGTTATAGTTATTGTGTTAGTAATGTGATTGGACCTTAAATTTATCCTTTTTCATTATATCCTCCCATCTGTGGTCCGAGAGGATGGAATAGGCTCCAGCATTCCCAGTACCCTACAGAGGACAAGCAGTTAGAGAATGGTTGGATAGATGGATCTTCATTATATCTGCACAGATTGTCTGATAAACGTTAGATGTCACACTTTGATCAAATCTTGAACAGCTATTACTATCTTTCTAATTTGATTACCATCAGTTGTGTTTTACATCATGTCAGTTATGAAAGGAGGCCATGGAGAAGCAACCCAACTATGAAACGGAGACCACCCAGACTGACGGTGATGGTAAATCCAAAGCAAGTATGCAGCAAGGTTAAAAAAATGCTCACTACCTCAACTCTGTACATTTCCTAGCATAGTCATTGGCACTGCAGTCACTGTTCAGTGTTACATCTTTGTTTCTGACAGTATAACAAAAACAACCATATCATTGTATCTTTCTGTTTACAGGCTCATTCAAGACAGATATATACAGACAACAGAATTTAAAAAAAATGAAGGGAACACTTAATCATCACAATATAACACAAAGTTAATTAAACTTCAGGGATATCTATCGTGCCCAGTTAGGAAGCGTATTCAACAGATTCAGATTGTGAATCTGTTTTACTTGATTTGGTGCAAATGAAAGTGACAACAGGTGCACTGGAGAGGCAACAGCAAGGCAATGCCCAAAAAGGGAATGGTTTAACAGGTGGTGGTCACAGACAAGTGCTCTCTCCTTATACTTCCGGATTGATTTGTCTCAAGTTTTTTGTTTTGTTAGGGTACTTGTAGCATGAGGCAGTACCTGCAACCCAATCAGGTTGCACAGGTAGTCCAGCTCCTCTAAGATGGCACATCTAAATGTGCCATTGCAAGAAGGTTTGGTGTGTCTCCCAGCACAGTTTAAAGAGCATAGAGGTGAAACTGAGAGACAGATGGTTACACGAGGAGAGCTGGACAGGACTGTTGAAGGACAACAACCCAGCAGCAGGACCGGTATTTGCTCCTTTGTTTAAGCAGGAACAGGAGAAGAGCTGCAAGAGCCCGACAAAATGACCTCCAGCAGGCTACTGGTGTGTATGTTTCTGACCAAACTGTTAGAAACAGACTTCATGAGGGTGGCATGAGGGCCCAACGTCCTCTAGTGCAGTGGTTTTCAAACCCTGGGTCAAATGGGTCGCCAGGATGATTTAAGGAAAATGTATATATGTATGTAACAAAGTTCAAGACTCAGGGAAGAAGGAGGCAGGAACCGGCAAATGTAACATTAATAACAAAACAACATAAACAATAAAATGAAAGTAAGCGGCAGCCACCTCACGGCAGACTCCAGTGCATATCTGTCTCTCTGTGTTTGCGCTCTGGACAGCATCAAAGGTTTCTTTTAACAATGGGCCTCATTC